GTTGTTAAGCGTCTGCCTTCAGCTCAGGTCATGATTCCAGGGTCCTGGGATCAAGCCCCACATCGGGTTCCCTGCTCAGCAGGAAGCCTGCTTTTCCCTCTCCCACTCCCTCTGCTTGTGTTCCCTCTCTCGCTGTCTCTCTCTCTGTCAAATAAGTAAATAAAATATTTTTAAAAATAATAAAAAAAATAAAAATAAAAATAAAAAAGATACGGCCTTTGGCTCAAGCTGGGCTAGTCCAAGTCATCCCCAACCCCTCTTCAGGGGGAGATTCTAGTGGCTGAAAAGAACCACTTCCACTTTATCTTCAAATAATAATTGCTGATTACAGACACAGCTGGTTGATTACATTTATTACCAATAGGTCCATGGTCAAGTTGACCACAATTACCAGAATATGTGCTGAATACCCTCTTACTACTTCACAAGCAATAGTATAAGGAAGGCAATTTGACTTAATAGAAAAGATGCAGACTTTGAGAGTAGCTTTCTAGGTCTGGGAATGAGGAGGGAGGTAGGTGAAGGTAGGGAGATGGGCATCCCTTGTCTTTAACCCTCATTCATCCAGGGGCATCCGGATCCCCTATTTCTCTTTTCCCTCAACACATGGGCATTTGAAGTTTTACTTGCCTGCTCCTGTTTGGCCACTGCTGATCCAGAGCAAGTTGGAACAGATGTGCCTGAGACTGAGTTTTGACCATGCAATGGAGGTGAAATCCTCATAAGAGAGGGAAAAGCAACAATATGAAAAGAACCCAAGTCCTTGATTGACCAGGTGGAACAGAGCTGCCTGCAGTCCAGAATCTTCCAGACTGTTATTTGACAAATAAATTTCTATTTTCTGTTTTTAAAAAGAAAAAAGAAAAGAGAATCCAGACTTTTGATTCAGGATTGGATTTGAATCTCAGCTCTTATACTTATTATTCCTATAACCCTGTTTAAGTCACTTAATGTCTGTTAGCTTTAGCATCCCACAAATGTAAATTAGGGTTGTTAACATATTTTGCAGAGATGTTCTAAGTAGAGGGAAGAAAATATGTACACCTGGCATATATTGGACACTCAATGTAAAATGGTAGCTGTAATATTTTTTAAATTGAGTATGTTGGTTTTATTTTTTTATTTTTAAAGATTTTATTTATTTATTTGAGAGAGAGAGAGAGTGCACAAGCAGGGGGAGCAGCCGAGGGAAAGGGAGAAGCAGGCTCTCTGCTGAGCAGTGAGCCCAGTGTGGGGCTCGATCCTGGGACTCTGGGATCATGACCTGAGTCGAAGGCAGAGGCTTAACAACTGAGCCACCTGGTGCCTGAGGACATTGGTTTTAACTTAAAACTACAACTCAGACATTTTTCCTATCAGAAAAAAGTATTGCATTTCGAAATCTCTCTGTAATCTATAAGATCTTGAAATTTTATCAGGTTTCTAAGTTATTTAGGTTTTCTTTATCCCCATATCAGAAAGACTAATGGTTTCTAAATCAGAAATAAGGAGGAACTAAAAAGAACAGTTCAGAAACAAAAATAACTTTTTTAAAAAAGATTTTATTTATTTATTATTTAGAGAGCAGGAGCAGGGGGAGGGACAGAGGGAGGAGCAGACTCTCTGCTGAGCAGAGAGCCCGACATGGCACTCGATCCCAGGACTCTGGGATCGTGACCTGAGCTGAAGGCAGACGCCTAACGAACTGAGCCACCCAGGTGCCCCACAAAGAACTTTTGATGAAAAAAATCGTATCTGGCTGAATTGTGTTAGCAGAAAAGTATTGTGATAATACCTCAGTTTTCTACAGAAAGTAATTTATCTAACAATCTAGGGTATCTGTAGGGGAATTGAGAATATTGGAGCAAGTAAAAAGGAACATTGAACTGCCTTTGAAAAGCCAGTACTACTCACTTTTAGGAAAGACTCTCAGATTCAAAATCTATTTGCTCTCACTTTACACACAATGCTAATAAACTTGGTTATCTGGTTTCCTTGGACACAGATTAGGTAGAGGACTGTCAAAGCCAGGCACCCAGGAAGTAGTAAGAGGTACTATCTAATATCTTAACAAAATAGGGAGCAAAAAGCCAGAGAGAAAATTATTAGCAGGGAAGCAGCCTAAGTGTCCATTGATAGATGAATGGATAAAGATAAAGAAGATGTGTGTGTGTGTGTGTGTGTAATGGAATATTACTCAGCCATAAAAAGGAATGAAATCTTGCCATTTTCAACAATGGGTAGGTCTACAGAGTATAATGCTAAGTGAAATAAGTCAGTCAGAGAAAGACAAAACCGTATGATTTCACTCGTATGTGGAATTTAAGAAACAAAACAAATGAACAAAGAAAAAAAGAGATAAACCAAAAGCAGACTTTTTTTTTTTTTAATTTTGTTTATTTGACAGAGAGAGACAACACAAGCAGAGAGAGTGGGAGAGGGAGAAGCAGGCTTCCCACTGAGCGGGGAGCCTGATGTAGGGCTCGATCCCGGGACCCTGGGACCATGATCTGAGCCGAAGGCAGACGCTTAATGACTGAGCCACCCAGGCATCCCCAAAAGCTGACTCTTAACTATAGAGGACAAACAGATGGTTACCAGAGGGGAGGGGTGGGGGATGGGTGAAACAGGTGAAGTGGATTAAGAGTACACTAATCATGATGAATGTATGGAATTGTTGAATCACTACGTTGTACACCTGAAACTAATATAACATTGTATGTTAACTACTGGAATTAAAATTTTATTTTATTTTATTTTTAATTTTATTTATTTATTTGAGAGAGAGTATGAGCAGGGGAGAGGGAGAGGCAGAGGGAGAAACAGATTCTCCACTGAGCAGGGAGCCTGATGAGGGACTCAATCCCAGAACCCCGGGATCATGATCCAAGCCAAAGGCAGACGCTCAACTGACTGAGCCACCCAGGCACCCTGGAATTAAAATTTTTAAATAAATAAATAAAATAAAATGAAGATTAAGAATGCAAAAAAAAAAAAAGAAAATTATTAGAAGGAGATAAAAGAACACAAAAACACACCAACCTTGGATCATTTGGGGTAGAGCAAAAAGCCTAGAATATTTCTGCCTTGCTTGAAGATGCATCACTTTGCACTCTAGTTCTTTTTTTTTTTAAGATTTTATTTATTTATTTGAGAGAGAGAGTGAGTGTGAGAGCATGAGAGAGAGAGAACAAGCAGAGGGGAGGGGCAGAAGGAGAAGCAGACTCCCTACTGAGCAGGGAGCCTGACATGGGGTTAGATCCCAGGACTCTGGGATCATGACCTGAGCTGAAGGCAGACGCTTAACCAACTGAGCCACCCAGGCACCCACACTCTAGTTCTGAATGCTAATAATGACCAAGAAAATAAGAAGTTAAATTACATTTGCTATATGTTTCAAGAATGCAGAAATCTATTTTATGTAAAATAATATTTCGTTAAAGCCAGATTTTTAAGCATTTTATACTTAAAGGGATTACTTCCAATTATTTAGAAAATGGATTCACTTTTCACATTTTTCAAAAATGTAGATAAATGGAGCTTTTCTGGATTGTAACAGCAAGGACAGAGTAAACACACACCGTTTATGTTGACAGGTCTTCTAAATGCGTCTTTAGATCTGGTTGGTTGCTTTGACCCCCAAGCAAGAGAAAATAAATAATGCATTCCACTACAAGCTGACTAACAGTAAAAGTTTAACAAGCTCCCATTGGCATGCCCAGCTCTGTGGAAGACAAAAAGTAGAAAATAGAAAAGGTATGCAACACCTTTTCTAAGTTCCCAAGAATTAAAGGATGATCATACAAACAAACCCACAATGTAAATTATTTATGCTGCTAAATAATATGAAACTATATAAATTAACAAAGATTATATATAAGAATAATTTCTAAGCAATGCCTAATACATATAAGCCATTATTTAAGAATTCAGTAATATCATGAAATCCATTAATACTATGGTTCTTAGGCTTGTGATACCTCTAGGGCTCTCAGGGGGTTATTCAAGTGTCAGAGTAAGTTGAAGGCAGAAGGTTCTGCAAGGCTACCAGCCAGGACCACACGAGTCCATCTGCTTTTCTTCCTTGATGTCTAAGACAGCAAGGTCTTTCTTGCCTGCTTTCACTCAGAGAGAGCAGGATCCATTAAGACACACTGAGGGAATCCGCCAAACACATGACAGGTCTATTAGGGCTACAGTGTGCCATTATATATCCTCCTCCACATCCCCTTGCACAAAACGAGAGAGAGCTAGATCCTTGTCTGCCTTGTGCACAGCACAGGGCTGGTGTGGAGTAGTATCCAAAGATTTCTTGAACAACTATGATAGAGTGGCAATGAGGGCCTGAGGTACCTGAAGCCTTAGTTTGGAAAGCCTTTCCCAGGACTAAGGGCATGACCTGGGGACATATGGGTTACTCAGGGAGTACAGGGTAGCGTACAACAATCTGCAGTCAAGCTACATACCCCAAAATGAACTCAGGCAAGGTTCCAAATCCAGCCACCAGCAACAAGGGGAAGTGTTTTTGTTATTATGCTGGTTTTTCTTTGGGACTGATAATTTTATCAAGAATTCATTTATTAAAGAAGAACGTCTTGATTTTGGAGAACAAACAAAACAAAACAAAACAAAAACCAACCTTTTCCTTGACCTGCTGTTCAGTAGGGCAGAATGTTGAGACCGACTCTCCTTTTTAAGAAGTAACTTAGCATACCCAAATGTCCAAGTACCCAACCGTTGTACTGCTGGAAGCACAAGAGAAAACGATCCAGGTAGGAAGGAAAGGGGAGAGATGTTTAGGTTCCCTATTCTGCGAAGAATAGCATAGGGAAATGAAAGTGAGCCGAAGAGAGGAAGAGAAATGGTAGCTGAAGAAAGAGCCGAGAGAATCAGGAAGAGAGATTGCAAAATCATGTCCCCTTTAGCCCCAAGTGCGTTTGCACTTGTTTCTTTCTCTGCCTCTTGGCTGTTTGAAGGTACCAGGCACGTGTTCCCACACAGCACACCCTCGACCTCTCCTGGTCACACTCTGTCATGAGTCACAACCTTATTGCTGTAGAAACAGCAAAGAGCAGGGCTCTGGGGAGGAAGAGAGTGCCTGGCCCAGTGTCCACTACTGCAAGAAATGGGCATAAGGTGGCAGCACTGGCAGTGTCTGCAGGTGTTGGGGAGAGAGACTTGGCCAAGGGCCAGCTGTACTTGAGCTGCTAAATCCCAGGGAGAAGATGGGGAAGAGGGAACTCTGTTAAAGACCTCCTTATTAGGGTAGTTAGTAATGGGAAGAGCAAGGCTCCTCCTAGGGGAGCAGTGGCACTCAGGAGTGGCACAGGGAGGAGTGGCTGATGGGTCCCATTGCCTGGCACCAACACCTCTGTTGAAGGAATAACTACCACTTATGAGGAAGGATTAAGACGGATTGATGAACAACGTGGATGAAGTCTGAGAACGTGGTAAGTGAAAGAAGCCAATCACAAAAGACCATATATTGTTTTGTACTGTATTGTAGGAAAGGTCCAGAATAGGCAAATCTTTAGAGACAGAAAGATTAGTAATTGCCTAGGGTTGGCACTGGGGAGACTGGGGGTGACTGCTAACGAGTATGGGGTTTCATTTGGGGGCGATTAAATCATTCTAAAATTGATTGTGGTGACAGTTGCACAACTCTGAGTAAGCTAAAAACAAGTGAATTGTGCACTTTAATGCGTGAGATTTTTTTTTTTTTAAGATTTTATTTATTTGACAGAGAGAGACACAGCGAGAGAAGGAACACAAGCAGCGGGAGTGGGAGAGGGAGAAACAGGCTTTCCGTGGAGCAGGGAGCCTGATGCGGGGCTCAATCCCAGGACTCTGGGATCATGACCTGAGCCGAAGGCAGACACTTAATGACTGAGCGACCCAGGCGCCCCTAATGGGTGAGTTGTAATATATCTCAATAAAGTTGTTACTAAAAAAAAAAAAAAGAATGACTGATGAACATTTAGTTAAAAAACAGAGAGGAAAGGTAATAATGTGAGTGCATTCTTACCATTCTCTCCCTCCCTGGTCTTAGGAATAAGAACAGCCTCCGTATGGGGGAGAGGCATCCCTTTTTCTGGAATCACCCATCTCTAAGACAGTGCCACTTAAACTTTAAGTTGCATACAAAGCACCTAAGGATCTTGTCAGAATGCAGATTATGTTTCAGAAGGTCTGAAATGGAACCTGACATTGTGCATTTCTAAGAAGCTCCTAGGTGATCCTGAAACTTCTAGTCTTAGAACCACATTTTGAATAGAGAGACTCTAAGACGCCCAATGAAATTATGTTTATTGTCTGATTGGGATCAATATTATGTCAGCTCTGAACTCAAAAGTTAGAGATCGGGGGCTCCTGGGTGGCGCAGTTGGTTAAAGTGTCTCACTCTTGGTTTCAGCTCAGGTCTAATCTCAGGGTCGTGAGATTGAGCCCCACGTCAGGCTCCACGCTCAGTGTGGAATCTGCTTGAATTTCTCTCTCACTCTCCCTCTGCCAGTTCTCCCCCCATCCCCCTCCACTGCTAGCGCTCTCTCCCTTTGAAATAAGTAAATAAATCTTTGAAAATAATAATAAAGTTAAAGGACCAACTAAATAGTTTTATTTTGACCTCATACTTGGTAGTGGCATTTGTATGTATAGTGGCATATGATGCTTCTAATAACAGTTAATACTAGTATCTTAAAAAAGCACATTACTAAAGTACACTATGGAATTTATTATCTATTTTTATTGAAAAGTTAGGATTTGGAATTTGTAAGAGAGCTAAGTTTGAATCCTGACTCTGTCATTTACCAGTGTCATGGCCTTGGATTACTTTATCTGAGCTTCAGTATCTTCGTTTATAGATTGGAGATAATACTATCTATCTTAGTGGATTTTTTTTTTAAAGATTTTATTTATTTATTTGACAGAGAGAGATACAGTGAGAGAGGGAACATGAGTAGGGGGAGTGGGAGAGGGAGAAGCAGGCCTCCTGTGGAGCAGGGAGCCCAATGCGGGGCTCGACCCCAGGACCCTGGGATCATGAACTGAGCTGAAGGCAGACGCTTAATGACTGAGCCACCCAGGTGCCCCTCTTAGTGGATTTTTGTGAGTACTAGAGACTATATGGCGTGCACATAGTGGTCATTCATAAGATTACTATTATTTTTCTTCAAGATTTTATTTATTTATTTATTTGAGAGAGAGAACTAGCAGGGGGAGGGGCAGAGGGAGAAGCTTAATCCCAGGACCCCAGGATCATGGCCTGAGCTGAAGGTGGACGCTTAACCAACTGAGCCACCCAGGCACCCCAGGAGATGCTTCTTTAAGTTTATTTTTCTTTATCCGTTTGAATAAGGCATTGTTGTGTAGAGCTCTAGTAAAATACATATGAAATAAAATTTTTCATACATAGAAGTTATGGGTTTTTTTGGATTGGTTCTGATATTAAGGAATTCAAAGTAAAAGTTCAGATAGTCAACAAGGAATTTTGGTCTCCTTGATTCTTTTTTTTTTTTAACATTTTATTTATTTAGATAATCTCTACACCCAACATGGGGCTTGAATTCATGACTCCAAGATCAAGAGTCACATGCTCTTCCAACTGAGCCAGCCAGGCGCCCCGGTCTCCTTGGTTCTTAAGTGTGAAGCTGAAATAATTCAACAACAATGATCTTTACTTTTGTTGAAAAAATTTTCAAACTGAGTTGCTTAATTTCATTTTAGGGCCTCTGTTATTTTCCTTTTCCTATACAGGTACAACAGGCAAGTTCTCCTAATGCCTGGCCCTCGGGGAAGCCTACAGAGAGCGGCAATTTGGAAAACCCTGTTTTGGAACAGAGCTGCTCCTTAATAGCTCCCCATGGAAGAGGGATTCCTGCTGCAAATGACATGACATCACAGGCACACGGCTTGGGCTGGAGCAAGGACTCCTGCTTCTTCTTTCTTGAGGCTCTCTGACCTAGGAGGTCCATTGCCTGCACCAGTAGGTGAGTACCCAGGTGCCTTGTTCCTCCATGTTACGGTTGGGCTATTCTCTTGAAGTTACAGAGATACAGAGGCTGCCCAATGTTTCTGTTTACTTTTCATATGCTTTTGACTTTTAGGCTAACTTCATCTCCTTGGTTTTCCTGGTTTCTGGAAGAAAATGTGGCAGACATTATCACTGGCAAGTTCCTGCCATGCAGCATTAGTAAAATTTATTTCTTCCCATTTTTTACACTTTTATAAATTTAACCTCTTGCCAACACATTTCTGTCACCATGTACTCTTCATTACCTATATGAAGGCTTAAGCAGTATGGAGACAAGAATTTGTTTTCTTCTCTATTTGATTTTTAAATTATAGAAGACTCTAATGCTGTTAACTGGTAAATGTTTAGAGTTTAAGGTAAACATCACTCCAACTTTTATAATGTTTAGAGTTTAAGGTAAATGTCACTCCAACCGAAACTGGTTTTGAAGATGCCCTTTTTTTTTTATTCTTATGTTAATCCCCATACATTACATCATTAGTTTTAGATGAAGTGTTCCATGATTCATTGTTTGTGCATAACACCCAGTGCTCCATGCAGAACGTGCCCTCCTCAATACCCACCACCAGGCTAACCCATCCTCCCACCCCCCTCCCCTCTAGAACCCTGTTTGTTTTTCAGAGTCCATCGTCTCTCATGGTTCGTCTACCCCTCCGATTTCCCCCGCTTCATTCTTCCCCTCCCGCTACCTTCTTCTTCTTTTTTTTTTCTTAACATATATTGCATTATTTGTTTCAGATTGAAGATGCCCTTTTTTAAAAACCTATTTTATAAAGAATCCTCTTGAACATTATTTTCAAATTTGAAAAAGAAAAGGGGCGCCTGGGTGGCTCAGTTGGTTAGGCGACTGCTTTCGCCTCAGGTCATGATCCTGGAGTCCCGGGATCGAGTCCCGCATCGGGCTCCCTGCTCGGCGGGGTGTCTGCTTCTCCCTCTCATGCTCTCTGTCTCTCAAATAAATAAATTAATTAAATAAAAAAAGAAAAAGAAAAAGAAAAAGAAAACAAGGGGTTCTACCTGTTCAATGCAGCATTGAATATTTAGGCTTTCTTTTGTTAACTGTTCTGCTTTGTGTCACTGCTGCATGAGGTGCTCAAGAAGACTGAACTGGAGACACCAGCCCCCTGAAAGGAGTAGCCACATGTTCATGGAGTGAGGAAGTGCTAGCTGCTGGCTGGGGACTTCCCAGGTCACTAATTTTGAAACCCTCCAAACACTGACCTAAAGATCAAATTTTTGTCCTCAATAGCAAGGATCAAAAGGTTGGAAGGCTCTATTCTGTTTCCTCATCTAGCACCAGGATTCTGTTGGAATTAAATGGATGCTAAGTCCTGCTTGTTCTTTTCTTCCTCATCTGTCCAATTCAGGACATTATTTGATTTGGTGCATGTTAGCCATTTGTTTTGGTGGACAGTTGTTTCTCTTGTTAAAAAGACCAAAGACCAAAAAAAAAAAAAAAAAAGGGCACCTGGGTGGCTCAGTTGGTTAAGCGACTGCCTTCGGCTCAGGTCATGGTCCTGGAGTCCCGGGATCGAGTCCCGCATCAGGCTCCCTGCTCGGCGGGGAGTCTGCTTCTCCCTCTGACCCTCCTCCCTCTCATGCTCTCTCTCTATCATTCTCTCTCTCTCAAATAAATAAATAAATAAAATCTTAAAAAAAAAAAAAAAAAAGACCAAAGAGCATTCTAAACTTGGAGCCAGCCAGGTAGGTGGAACAAGTATCTCATCATTCCACGTAGCTGCCTTGGGAGCACTGGGTTCCAATCTATGCTGGAGTCCCTGTTACGAGCGTCGTTAGGTGCAGGAGCCTGAGCTTTGAGAGCAGCCATGTGGCAAAAATTGTACCTCGTGGCCATTTTTGTACTGTTTAGTCCAAGTGCAATTACCCAACGTGAGAGCCTATGTGACACTGAGACAAAAAAAGAGAGAAGAGAGAAAAGAGGGAGGAACAGGAGAAGTTATCTTAATTCACTTCTCTTAATTCTCACAAAGGGAAAAGAATGACTAAAATATAACCTGCATGTAAGAGCATTAGTATTATTAATAATACTACCTTTGATAACTAGGTCAGTGATCTCTTATCATCCATTATTTTCCTGCACTCACCCAAATCTCAAGGACCTATAGAATGGGTATTGCCAAGTCTTTTTTTTTTTTTAAAGATTTTGTTTATTTATTTGACAGAGAGAGACAGCGAGAGAGGAACACAAGCAGGGGGAGTGGGAGAGGGAGAAGCAGGCTTCCCGCTGAGCAGGGAGCCCGATGCGGGGCTTGATCCCAGGACCCTGAGATCGTGACCTGAGCCGAAGGCAGACGCTTAACCAACTGAGCAACCCAGGCACCCAGGGTATTACCAAGTCTTAAGTTTTTCTTTGTTTCTCTTTTCTCTTTCTTCATCAACTTTCTTAGAGAATGAGGGACCTTGACCTGAGTGCTAAGAACTTATAAATTTTGAATGAAAAAAGCCTACACTATTTTTGGAGGCATTGTCTTTCCTCTTAGGTAAACGTCAGCCTACAATGTACTTTATAGGAGGTACAAAGGTAGTGTATATGCAATATTGTACATTACAGCAGAGTGATGTCAAAGGGCCTCCCATTTAAAAGTAAACTCAATGAGAGAACTTATATCCAAAATCAAAAAGTGGAAAATTCTAGACTGGTTTCAAAGCATCATAGTGCAGAGACAGTCAGTTGACTCGTGGAGAGCCTCTACTCTGATGCATCTGAGCATACATAGTTCATATGATTAGATTTTGTGAGTCTATTTAAAATCTTGGGGGCGCGTGGGTGGCTCAGTCGGTTGAGTGTCTGCGTTGGACTCAGGTCATGATCCCAAGGTCCTGAGATTGAGGCCCCCGCATCAGGCTCCTTGCACAGAGGGAGCCTGCTTCTCCCTCTACCCCGGCATTCCCCCTTCTCATGCTCTGTCTCAAATAAATAAATAAAATATTTTTAAAAAATCTTGATCATTACAGTTTATAAACAAATACAGCCATTTGGAAATCTGACTTAAAATGAAAGTCTGGACATTTGTCTCAAATGTTGATATAGCTCTCAAATGGTAGTCTTTGCCTTGAATATTAGGTAGGTCATCCTGTTTAAATCTTGTCTTTCCCTAACTAATCCCCACCCCCCCTCATCTCCTAAAAGAAGACCTCTAAACAGAGTTTTCACATCTTTGTAGTACTCCATTCCTGTAAATTCCTTCTCCATGTTTTTGTTCTGTTTCACTTAGTTTGGAAAATGGCTGTATAGAGTATGTTTGGTAATGTTTGGTATAACCCTAATCCTGGCTGGCATCTGTGATCCCTTAAAAAGATATATATATATATATATATATTTGAAGATGCCCTTTTTTAAAAACTTGTTTTGAATTCTTTATGTATGTATAATATGTATATTCATGTATATTTGTGTATATTCGTGTGTGTGTGTGTGTGTGTGTGTGTTCTGGGGTTTAAGTATAGAAGTAAAAACCTTAAAGTAGAAAACAAGCGTCCGTTATTATCCAGTCCCCTTCATATTTTTAGTTGTTTAGAAAATGTTTCTCCTGGGACGCCTGGGTGGCTCAGTTGGTTAAGCCACTGCCTTCGGCTCAGGTCATGATCCTGGAGTCCCGGGATCGAGTCCCGCATTGGGCTCCCTGCTCGGCAGGGAGTCTGCTTCTCCCTCTGACCCTCCTCCCTCTCATGCTCTCTGTCTCTCATTCTCTCTCTCAAATAAATAAATAAAATCTTAAAAAAAAAAAAAAAGAAAGAAAATGTTTCTCCTGTTGTTCCTATTAAATATTTCTCATACACCAAAACGTGATGTCAGAGTGTGTGTGTGTATGTGTGCACATGTGGGGTAGAGGTAAGGGAGAGACTAGGTCAGATCCTATGATGTGCAATGGTGAAGAACCTACTAAATTAATTAATCTTCAATTAGCAGATCATTGAGAATATAAATCACTCACAGGCAATCAAAAGGTGATGTCAGTGAACGGTTACGGCTCGGCATGACTGTTCCTGTTTGTTATTGCATTTAGTCCTAGCACTCTTGTTATCACAAGGCCATCCTGTGAGTTTTACTGTGAGACTTTAGAAACGTCTATGCCAAAGGGGCACCTGGGTGGCATCCAACTCTTGGCTTCAGCTCTGGAAATCTCAGGGTGGTGAGCTTGATCCCTGCGTCGGCCTCCGCACTCAGCGTGGAGTCAGCTTGAGATTCTCTTTCCCTTTCCCTCTCGCTCGTGCCCTCTCTCTAAAAATAAGTAAATAAGGGGCACCTGGGTGGCTCAGTCAGTAAAGCGTCCTGCCTTCGGCTCAGTTCATGATCCCAGCGTCCTGGGATCAAGCCCCGCATCAGGCTCCCTGTTCAGCAGGAAACCTGCTTCTCCCTCTCCTACTCCCCCTGCTTGTGTTCCCTCTCTCGCTGTGTCTCTCTCTGTCAAATAAATAAATAAAATCTTTAAAAAATAAAAAAATAAAACTAAAAATAATGTCTATGCCAAACACAGCATTAATAAGTATTCTAGGAGATAGTTAAAGCAAGGAACAAGAGGGGTATCTGGGTGGATCAGTTAAGCATCTGCCTTCAGCTCAGGTCACCATCTCAGGGTCGTGGGATCAAGCCCTGCATCGGGCTCCTTGTTCAGCAAGGAGTCTGCTTCTCCCTCTGCCTCTGTGTCCCCCTCCCCAACTTGTGCTCTCTTTCTCAAATAAGTAAATAAAATCCTAAAAAAAAAAAAGGCAAGGAACAAGGTACTGAATGAAGTATATAAATACGGCTTTGGAATGATCTTGTTATTAGCAAATGTCATGCTATTAACTTCTAGTTGAAAGAATAATATGCTCACAAGATTTCTGAGTCCCAGAAGACCCATTTTGGTGTGAATTGGGTCAGAATAGCACACGCAACTCAAGGATTGCTGATCAAGGTCAGGTGCATAGGGTAAAGCTGCCTCATCATGAAAGGGGAGTATTCAAGGGGGAAACTGAGTGCCCTTGATCTATAGTATTTGGTTAAGTTTATAAAAATGGTTTCTTTTTTTTTTATTCTTATGTTAATCCCCATACATTACATCATTAGTTTTAATGTAGTGTTCCATGATTCATTGTTTGTGCATAACACCCAGTGCTCCATGCAGAATGTGCCCTCCTCAATACCCACCACCAGGCTAACCCATCCTCCCACCCCCCTCCCCTCTAGAACCCTCAGTTTGATTTTCAGAATCCATCGTCTCTCATGGTTCGTCTACCCCTCCGATTTCCCCCGCTTCATTCTTCCCCTCCTGCTACCTTCTTCTTCTTCTTCTTTTTTTTTTTAACATATATTGCATTATTTGTTTCAGAGGTACAGATCTGAGATTCAACAGTCTTGCACAATTCACAGCGCTTACCAGAGCACATACCCTCCCCAGTGTCTATCACCCAGTCACCCCATCCCTCCCACCCCAAC